TTTTGTTGTATTAATTCCGCCACACCTTAAATGCCGGTCCCTGAAAATATTGTCTGACTTAAACCGGTCCGTGGGGCAAAAAAGGTTGGGGACCCCTGATTTAGAACATCCCATCTTCTTCGATAATGTCGAATTTCATTGTTTGTTTCGGCCGTGTTTTGTTCTCCAGAAAACCTTTGGGGATGTCTCGAAGCGCGTCGAGCTCCGTGGGCGGCTGCAGTGCAAGAGCTTCTCCTGGTATTTGAAGAACGTCTATCCAGAGGTCTTCATGCCCGATCTGAACCCCCTGCGCTTTGGCGCGGTAAGTGTGAGCGCCGACCCGTCAGCTTTGCCCCCCCCCCACCCCCTCAACTCCTAATCCTCAGGGCTCAGCGTAGCCGCTGCGGGTTTCTACTCGGGACCTCCAGCGGGTCCGGAGCAGTTCCAGTTGGACGCCACTGACTCTCTGCAGACACTCAAGCTGTTTGAACAGCTTGCCGGGGTTTGTTAGCTTTTCATTTGGTGTCCTTTCTTTGTGTTTAGGTGAAAAATGTGGGCAAGGACTCTTGTCTGGACGCCGGCGAGAACAATGACGGGGGCAAACAGCTGATCATGTACCCATGTCATGGACTGGGAGGGAACCAGGTTTCAAGAAGAACGCCTTCTGTTGCTTATCAACAAAAATGGAATAACGGTTTCATCTTTTAATACCTTTTTTTTGTTTGTTTGCTCGCACCTGTAGTATTTTGAGTTCTCCACGCATCATGAGATCCGACACAACATTCAGAAGGAGCTGTGTTTGCACGGGGTGCAGGGGCCCGTCAAGCTGGAGGCCTGCCAGTATAAAGGCAGGAACACGGCGGTAGGACCAGAGCAAAAGTGGCAGATGCAGGATGTAAGTTTGATCTAGGGCTCAACCATTTTGAAAAGTGATCTTGTTGCGATTTCCACCCCCCACCCTCCTCGGGCGAACGTGTAACTTTTAAATTTGTCATCAAAACGTAAGCGTCAGTTCACATCAGAACACCCAGTGTGCACGGCAAGGCAATTTGTCTGTTTATCCGTACACGATGGTGAAAAAGACTGACAGGTTTAGTGACAAATATTTTCTTTTGAGAGATGAAAATGGCTTTTGCTGGGAAACCACAAAATATATACATTAAAAAAAAATTTTTTGTGGCCCCATTTCCACGTGTTTTTCACAAAAATGTTGGGCAATAAAATGTGTCTTTTTGTTTGTCTTCAACTAGAACCAGTTAATCTACCTGCCGAGAAGCAACATGTGTCTGAGTGCCCGCTTTGAGCATCCCGCCCTCACTCCATGCGACCCTTCAGACAGATACCAGCTTTGGGCCTTTATCTGACTGCGGACCTCTTGAGTATCCCTTTTTTTTATATATAGATTCCTGACTGCAATGACTTTTTAATTTATTTTTAACACATGAAAACAGAACTGTCGCTGCTTCAAAGTCTGAATGTCGGGCGAAAGCACGTCGGGGGCCACCGTGGGGAGGAAACGTTTTGGACACGTTGCCTCCGAGCACAGTGTGTACTCAAAGATGCTCGGAATCATGAAGGTGCACTGAGCTGACTGGTGCCTGTGTTTTTTTTTTTTTTTTTTAATCAAATGTACGGACAAAAGTATTGGGACACATGGCCATTAAACATACTGAATTTAGGCCAAAAGCTTCCACTCTCCTGGAAGATTTTTGACCAGATTGTCAATTTCTTTCACTTTAAACCATCTTTTCAGGCCTTGATGGATCTGCGCAAAGTTGTTCCCACTAAATTGGAAGCAGGGTTAAGATAAAGTTGAACATTTAGGAATCCATTGATACCTTAGAGCTGTGCCCCAAGACTTTCGTCCCTACGTGTAGTTTCACTTCTCCTCGTATGAGTATTGTCACGTGCTGTATTGCACCTACGTGAAGCCAACATTGAATCGAATATCTATTAAATGATAAAATAACACTGAAAACATAAACAAACGCCTTACAATTAGCGCACCAAAGACACTGACTCAAAAAACGGAAACACAAACGTGAGCACAGTCCTTCAAAGAACCAACCTATTTTTAAGACCGCTTTCATCCAGTGCCTTAAATGCCATTTTATTCTATACGAGGTGAGGGAAAAGGTGATCTACTGCATGAGTGTGCGGGGAGTACCGTTGTTGCGGGGGTCGTCATTGTTTTCTTGGTATGAAGTTGGCTGCCTCTGAAACGCCCTGATGCAAATGCCGCAATGCTTAGCTGCCAATGTGTACTTCAATTTGACGGACACATCTGATGACCAACACGCTGTGCTGTAAAAGAGGCCAAACTCCTTTGTGCTAGTTATCCTAAATACTGCAAACTTGACCAGCCTTACTGTGTGGTTTTCATGTCAAACTGGGGGGGAACTTGGAAAAATAAATATGTGCAGCCATTTGTCGAGAAGCTCCGTCTATATTAAGCGTCTCCTGCAGGGGGCGCCGTAGACTAACAAAATGAAATTCACGTGAAACTCAAACATGACATCATGAAGACCAAATGACATTTATTTCAAAACCATGTAAAAATGAAAACTAATTCTATCTACAGATTAAAAAAAAAACCCAAACACATAGGAAAAAAAATCACTTTGTGCAAAACGTATGCATTTCACAAAATCCCAAAATGAAAAACAAATCAGGCACATGAAGCTTTTACAACTCACAATCAGCATTTAAAAATGGACAATTTTAAAAATACTGAAGCGATTTACTCAATACTGACTGACCACAATAAATACACGTTTTAATATATCATTCATAAATACTAAGGGGGAGCGGGGGGGGGGGGGAATTTTTGACTGGATGCAACATCATCTCACCCTCACACTGTACTGTATGCTTCGGCAAAATTAATCAGCACTATTGATTCCCTCCATTGCCTGAAAGCATTCTGCACATGTGAGGTCCAAACTTATAACCACTTAAAAAAAAAAAAATTCCATTAGCAGCCCAGTTGTTTCATTTGAGATTTTAAGTGCTTATTTTGCAATTTCTCCGCGTCGTCATTTTCAATGACTCAGTTATGATCATCAAATATCAAGCTGTGATTGTCATCCATTTTTAATGTATGTAATGGCAATTATAAGGGGGAAAAATGCTACGTTGAAATTAGTGGAATAGCTTTGTAGATAACTATTGCACACAACAACCTCATTTAATGGATCATCTTAAATAAACCTCAGTCATATAAACAACCAGACAGGAATGTTTGTACAGCATTCAAACCACAAGAGAGAGAAAAAAAATGTCACCAAAAAAGATATCACATTAATTTAGATCGATATTTAGCGGTTGGGGTCAGCATGAATTTAAATCAGAGCTTTTTGGAGACAATTCAAAGTGCTATTTAATATCCCTGTATTCATGAAACACTTTAATGTGGCGACTCTTTTTCACCATTCAAGTATCGATTTAAAAAAAACAAAAAAAAACTGCGGCATCCAATGGACCACCCACACTTTAGTCCCAAAGGTTACAATCTGACCAATGACAACTGAGAACTTTTTCATGCTTTTCCAACCATAGAAAAGCATATCATATAGTAAGGAAAAAAACAAGCACATTTCTTTTTGTTTTGTATAAAACAATAGCTTTTTTTTTTTTTTTGTTCCCCTTAAATACTGCTGCAATTCCCAAAAGAGCATGCCTATTATCAAAACTTTTACAATATATAATGTACGTATACTTCCTAAACAATAAATAAACTTGACGGTCGGTAATCCTTTTTTTTTTTTTGTTTTGTTTTTTTTGCACACATTTTGACACACACACACACGATAGACATATAAAAGTTCCATCTACAGTACAATATTTGCTCAAAACTAGAACTTTACATCTGAAATTACAAGATAACATTGCACGGCGTGACATATTTGAGCTTTGAACCGCGTTGACGTCGATGCGGTGTGTGTGAGGTCTCCGAAACATTCCTACGATGAAACCCGTGATGCCAGCAATGAAAATGGGCCACGGTGCTGTGATCTGTGATCCTTTTGAAATTCAAGTTCGGACGATGCAAAAGGCCATGAATGCAATGTGCTCCTAACTTTAAAAAAGAAAATGTCCATGTCGAATTTCAGTCTTCCGGATCATGTTAAGCCACCAAGATTGCAACGAGGCGATTGAACTTTTTTTTTTTTTTTTTTTTTTTTTGGTTGAAGACGATTCACCTTTTATCTGAATCTTTTTTTTTTTTAATCAATATTTTCGATGTGGAGTCTCATTATTTCTTCCTGGGTTCGATCGAGGTGGTGACAGGAGGGTATTGTTGCTAATTGGAAGTTTGCGCGCCTGGCTAAACCACTCGCTAGGGCCACTCCGTCATGGAATGAGACAATCTTTTGGGGGGGGGGAGGGTTTCAGTTCAGCTTAACTCAATATTGCTTCGAGAGCACTAGAGTTGAACAATTAAACAAATTCAAATCAACATCCCAATGTAGTAAAATGTGATTTTCAGATCACAAAGGCGGCAGTGTTTAGAAAATATATATTTGGTGTATTTCTTGTGTGCAAGATTTTTAGAAAACATCACGTTACGTATTGAGTTGTAAAAAAAAACAAAATACTTTAACAAACATTTTTAAAACCATGCACAAATCAAATACAGGCACACAGACTTTGAAGAACAATTAGTAAAGCGCATAATATTTACGTAGATGTATCGTGTCTAGAAAATTGCAGGGCAGTCCATGTTTAAAGATTGCCACAGATTTGTGTGCATTATTGTTGTGTATTCTGATTTAAAGACTTTATGATTGTTTACGCCAGACTTGTAACATTTTGTCAAGTTGTCTGAGCCAACGCTTTGAAGACTTAAAATCAGAAATAAGCTAACAATCCTAAGTAGGTTAATAAACTGTCTTTCATATTAATTCATGGTCCATCTTCCTTTATTTTAGTGTAAAGCTAAAATGTAAGACCAAAACATTTCTGTATATGTGTACCCTCAATCCTGCGAGCTCATAAGAAAGTACAAACTGATTTTTAATTGTTTACAAGCCTGTAGATTTGAACCTCCAAGGTCACTGCACTCCCCACCCCTGGGAGACCCCCCACTGAAAATTTTGAAGCCTTTCGGATTAAAGGTGAAACGTCTTCGACAAACAAAAGTTGAAAATTGCCTCGATTCAACCATTCAAGATGCAAACGTGTAGCACCACCTACACGGCCGGTAAAGACAGATTCTTGGTACTCGTTGCAAGTAAGTTCAAGTCGGCGTGTCCATTCACGTTGGACTGCTGCGGCGGCTCGGCTGTCGCGCATGAGCCGTGAGTGCTGAACGGAGCGTGGGCGTTATTGTTCAGATAGTTCTGATACTGGTTCTCAGGCGGATCCACAAAGTCCGCTTTGGACGTTAGCTGCTTGTCACGTTCGTTGGCATAGTGGTTCATGGCGGCTACCGGTCCGTTTCCGCCCAAGTTAAAATTCGTAGAGTATTGTTCCACTGGCTGATTGGGGAAGGCGCCCTGGGTTTGGGTGCCGCTGATTGACTCTTGGAATGCTAAGGCTTCCCCGTAGGGTTCGCCCGATTGGCTGCTTGGGCCACCGGGGGCGGGGCCAGAATTCCCGAGCTGATAGTACTCGGCCGAGGGGGAGTTAATTAAATAAGCGTTCCCGTTCACGTGGTTGTCGTCGTCGCCGTAACACAGCACCGAGGCCAAGGGGACCACCTCTGTGTGACACAAATTCTCCGACCTGTCCTCATCCTCGTCTTCGTCTTCCTCGTCCTCCGACTCGCTGTTGGCTAAACTCTGAGTGCTGGAGTCCGAAAGGCCGCTGAAAACGCTGCTGCTGTCCTCCTCGTCTTCGTTGTCCTCTTCCTCGTCATCGTCGTCCTCCTCATCCTCTTCCTCGTCCTCCAGCGGCTCGTCCATCTCGCCGGCCGTCTGTAGGTGCACGGCGGCGCTTTGGGGGACAGCGTCGGGCAAAGCGTAGTCCAACCTGTGCTGAGACTGAACCAGGGGGTTGGAGCCGACTGCCTCGTTGCCGTGGTAACCATTGGTGGGGGAAGCTTGCTCCTGCTCACGACTCTTCTCCAGCTCCAGCTTCATTATGGTGTGCAGGAAATGGGTCCGAACGCGGATGGGGTTGAACTCCACTCTGCCACTCGAATTGCTGCAGCCTTCTTTTGTGCAGCCACATGGAAATGACATGCGGTCTACCTAGAGGGAACAAAGTGTTTCCTGTCATGGGCTACATTACACCACAGGGAAAGCAACAATGTTCAGAAGCTATGTTTTTCTAATTGTTTTTTCTATGGTTTGGGAAATGTATCTCAAATGACACAGATCAAGACCAAATTTTAATCAGAGATGCCTTTATCACTGGATTTTAAAATGTCTTGACTTTTTTTAAGCACATGAGCGCTGTTGACATAAAATGCTGTTTTTTGTTGGTGGTTTTTTTTTGTGGGAATGTGGGGAAAAAGTCTGTCAACTCTGGTTTGAAGATTGAGCTGTGGAAAAAATAAACTTGGAAATGCGATTCTTACAAGCAGCTTGTGATTGATCAAAGTATTTGTCATGTTTAATCTACTACAGTGTCACAGAAGACAGAAAAGACGACGGTGATTATTTGAATGTAGAATTAGACGCGATGCCAATGAACATGCTTGCATGAACGCGCACACACTACTAAATACTACTACTATTAAATAATGTGCAAATACTATCACTACAGCAAAATTATTAGCATCAAGCTATCTTTTTACAAAAAGCTTGTTTTCTGTGTCCAAAATAAATGATTTGGGTGAAACCAATCCATGTTTTATTGCAGATTGAATAAGAAAAATTGAATAAGGTACGTGGGCAAATATGGTCTCATCTCATTTCTCCACAAATCGATAATATGGGTCAGTCACAAGGTGGTTCTGTGAATTATACAAGTTGAGATAAAATATTATTTTAGGTAAAAAAAAAAAAAGATAAATTGATGCTCGATTGCTTCATCAGGCCTTTACCTGGCACTTGATCCCCGCATTGCTGCAGGCGCAGGTCTCTGGCTCACAGAAGACTCTACAATCACAGCCGCAGTCCTCTCTGGACATACGAATGGCCCGAAGTTCATGCTTCTCTTCCACGTCAATCTTCTTGACCCCGGACGTACGGAGCAGGGCCCGTCGCTTTTTAGTGGTGAGCGGCTGCAGGAAGAAGTACTCATCCACCTCCGTGTTGTCCAGGTCGATGTCGTCGTCAGAAATGTCCTCGGCAGTGAGAGTGTTGGCCTCCTCGGACTCGACTGTTCCGTTCTTGGTAAGCTAGAAAGCCGGAGGATATCATGGGCAATTGAATGTTTTTTGTTTTTGTTTTTTTTACAAATTGGGACGATCTGTCTGTTCCCATCTCGTCTGTAATGTGACTAATTTAAAGTGAAATAAGCTTGAGAACAAATGCAACTCTAAACTATCTTGTGTTGTAAAACGATCTCTTCCTTCGCTATGTGCAGCATTACGTTGCCTCAAGATTGGGAGTCTGGATGTTTCTTTGAGAAGAAGTCAAAATAGGTAAGATACATTTCTGTAAGTTTGTTTTGTTAAAAACCAAGACCAAGATGGAGTTATTAATTGTATCCCCAAAATGATTTTTAATGGCGGGACTGATATATGCTGAATGTTGTTTCCAATGAGTGTCTCGCCAATTTGCAAGTAAATCGCTTGAAAAGTGCGACAGTCATCACTCCAAAGACGCCAGTTGAGGAATGAGCGTATGTCACCTTGAGTTTGATGGAGTTGAGTTTCTCCTCCTTGAGATGGTCCCTCAGCATGTCCCTGTGGATCCTCTCCTGCTCCATGGCAAACTCGCCAAGGGAGTACTGCCTGACCCAGCTGTGCCTGTTGGACATGCCCAACGTGCTGCCGCCCTGGCTGGGCACGCTAGTGAAGCCTTGCCTCCTGCTGAAGTAGTACACGGTCACCTTCTCAAAGTGCACCCTCCTCGTGCACAGACGCTTCTCCCGCTTCAGGATGGAGCCCGCTGCTGAGGGGGAAACGCCCGGTTAGAATCGGGCCGTTTACAAAATGTCAAGTGCACGTTTGTGGCACAGTTTAAAAGGCAAGATATTATGAAAAGTTGACCTTTTAATGGCTTGTAGACAAATAATCGAGTATCTGAAGCGCCTACCCACCCAAACAAGTGTCAAACAAAGCAAGCAAGTCGATCTTTTGTTATCCGCCTATACTACACAGAACGACTAATATCCGTACAGTTTCACGATGATTGAGGAGTCGATACATTCATATACACACACAAAAAAAACGCTGGGTTGGTTTCCTCACCGACTCACCGGTCAGCTGTGGGTCTTTTGATTCGGTTACTTTTACCCAAAGTTGGCTTCATTATTTTGATCCAGAGTGTAGGCCTGTATTATACTGCCCCCGTGCGGCCAAGGCACACACAAGCGAAAGTGCAGTACAAACTGGCAAAAACTGTTCACTTTTTATCATTCTTCTTGATTAGGTGATACAGTATGTTTACCTAAAGTACACCATGGTACAATTTAAAAAAAAATACATTACAAGAAGAAGAAGCCACTCTCGTCGCAAGACTCAGGCTCCGTCCCGGTGGGATGAAGTCATGAAATGTAGGGCACAGATTTTCTCAGGAAATTGTCCCTAAAAGCGTGAAATATGAGAAATGCTTCTTCATACTAGCAATTTTGCATGATGTTGTGAGGGAAAAAAAAAAAAAAAAAACGTCATCCCAGTTCTGTGCTACTACCGAAAGCTATGAAGAGGAGGAAGGCAACGCTGGAGTACAAATAATCCCCCGGCTGGCCATGAGTTGAAGAGTACTCCTTCACAATAGTCACGCCTCCTTATCATTAAAGTTCCTCACACTGTTCCGAGCAAGAGACCCGGCCCGCTACTAATTCTCCAGGAAAACAAATGCTAATGAGAGCTGTTTCAGCAGATGTTACAGGCACGTTGTGAGTCTGCTTGAATGTTTGTAAGTGAGTCATTAGAGCTCCCCTCCATCACATGGCGCTGCAACCGCATGACAACCGACACAAGGTCAGTCTTTGCGAGACCCCCCACACCCACCGGCAGCTGCAATTGTCAGAAGCCGCGCTCAGACCCCAGGGACGCACTCCTCTCCTTATGTTAGCTCTCCCCCTCACTAACCACAACATTAGGTACACTCGCACCTGCATCTGATGCAAGAAGTGCTGTATCAAAATGAGTCATTTGCAAAGATGCTGTGAATGGACTGACAATATTTTGTCCCGTTCTCTTCATTCTGTGTCTTTTGTTCTTTCAATTTAAATAAAATAGCTTTGTTAGCAGGAAGAAAAACTTCTGGCTATACTGTACAGTGAGATCTGTCAGCTTATCAGTACGGCACTAATATTAGTTGTTCTTCACAGATGATGGAATATACTGGGATGACTGTGTGGTTTTCTCAGTTCTTTTGTTGATAACCTGATGTAAGGCCTCAACAATCAGGGCGAGAATGAGTTTCAGAGTATTTCGAGATGAGCAATGCAAGTTTACAGTTCGAAATGACAGTGCACCGGAGACTATTCAACAAGGATCTTTTCAGATGATCTGCTCATCTTTTGGATTCTAGTCTCTTTTTTGTCAGGTTTCCTCTTCTCGTAATATGAGGGGATTTTCCATTTGTTATCTCCAGAGCCCTGGCCCTGACATTGTGTTATGATCAAATCGCTCACAAGTCAGGAGGCGTACGAAAGCCTTTGCATAACAAAAATGCAAACTTTTGACAGTACAACTTACGATGATCATTGCCCAAAAAGTAATAAAATATCGCTCTAGTGATGTTTACTGCCCTCATTGTCCCGATCACTACTGGTGCCACTGTTGCTTTACCCTCCACATTTTTACTAGTTCTTCCTTCAGTCTTTGGTATTTCTCTAGATTTTTGTTACTTTTTTCTATGTATCGTTGCCATCATTCAGGTTTGCTACCTCGATCACGACTACTGTCTTCTGACCTTTATCCACCACCAGTATGTCAGGCTGGTTAGCTACCACCAGTTTGTCAGTCTGGATCTGGAAGTCCCACAGTATCTCCGCTTTGTTGTGTCTTCGACGGTGTCCGCCATCTTGGTTCCGGGACCTCGAGTCCATATTTGTTTTACGGATGTTCCGGTACACGAGTCCTGCTACCTAGTGATGCTGCTCCACATTTGCCTTGCCTTGCCAACATCAGCATGGTGCTGTCATGTGCTGCACCATCCCTGGGGCTTCTTTGCACCTGCGGTCCTGTTTGATGTGGTCGACCCCATTGATATTGCGCCGCCATGATTAGTCCCTCCGTGCCAGCTTTCAGTCCAGCCTTTTCCAGCCATTGCTATGTTTTCTCGATGTCAGCCACTTCTTCAAAATAGTCAGTGGTACATGCCATGCAGGGGTTTGTCTTTCCACGGCAGTCCATCTGGCTCCTTCGCCTTACTGGGCTTCTGTTGTCTGAGGCATTCACGAAGCAGGTTGTCCCTGGGGGCCATCATCTTGATGTATTCTTGGAAGCCTGTTGTTCCCCCCTGGATAATGCCCAAGACGCTCACGAGTCCACAGCCCCCCTCTTTCCGCTTTGTATACAGCCTCACAATGCTGGACTTCGTTTAATTTGACAGGAAACTTTAACTGGGAGTGGCATTAAAAAAAAATTTAAAAAAAGCTTGTGGCCACTTTTATTAAGAATAATCCACTATTTTCCAAAGAGCTAAATATATATGTGCAGCTAGTGTATAGCGGCTGTTTTATGAAAAATAAATTGAAAAATAACTAACAAAATAAATGCAACAAGTGACAGGCTGTATAATGCAAATCTGTTCTTCGAAAGGGAGTTCCAGGGTACATGCACAGAGTGAGACCTTGAGAGGTTATCATCTCATTCATCTGGCTCGACTGGCATGCTGATGCTATTCCTAATAAGGGAAGCTGCCCGCGCATGCCGCCTTTCTATTACACCAGTGGTCTCTCAGCATCACTTAGCCTCTCCCCTGGACGGCTATGACTGTGCATTCATATCACACTGCCTCCTACAAAGATCGTCTTGGCCACCCAGCACTGGAATAACACCATTAGTTCCATCTTGATGAAAATTACCTCCTTTTGGTTCCTCCTCTCTAATGACATGACAACATCCCCCTTGCATGACGCGGTTTGTTAGCAACTCGGGCGCAGCACGCTGACTGACACTCACGGGTGAAAGGGCCAGAGGTGGACGGATTGACGCTGTCGCTGCTGTCCCCGCTCTCGCTGCAGGATACCTCATCATCAGACTCCCTCAAGGAAGAGCACGGGGAGGAGGAGGCTTCCACCTCCTCGAATTTCCTTTTCAGTATTCCGCTCATGGCCTGACACATCTGCACCTGAAACACAAAGACAGCGGAGGGGCCACGTATTATTTAATATCCAGTTTAGGAGGCCTCTGTAATCCTCAACACACTCAATTAGCACCGCATACGCATCCACAAACGCACACACCGACACCTCCGGCTCTCCTTGCCGGCTCTGCTGTGGCGCTCCGCCGGCAATTGATCACCTTGAGCACAAAGGAGCCGCGATGGCCGGCGAACGCTGATAATTACATTCTCAATCTGATGTAGAGGAAGTTCATTTTGGCTTCATTTATTGTGTGGCGCAAGAAAAAAAAAAAGAGGCTTGACCAACATTTGTGACAATGAAAATGCTCATATACGGAAGGGTGTGTTGTGAATATTTAGTACATGTTATTTGTGATAAGCAGTAACCGTATGCAAATTTGGTCCAGAGTGAATTAAGTTTTCAAATAAATAAACTAGCCAACTAAGTGACAGACAGTGGATGCAAAACAAACAAACAAAAAAGATCTACACACCCCTGTTCAAATGCCAGGTTTTCCTGGCTAAAAAGAAAAGATCGAGTGAAATAATTTAAAAAAAAAATCACAGCTAATGTGACCTACATAAAAATAAAATTAAACACAGGATGAACAAATTTTGAAGTAATCTATCACAACTCATATTTGACCTTTGTATCATGTAAATAATTCAGTTACTAAGTCATTTCCAAAGGCAGAGGTGTCAAAGTCAAGGCCCGGGGGCCAGATCTGGCCCGCCACATTATTTTATGTGGCCCGCGAAAGCAAATCAAACACATCAACTTCCATGATGCTTGCTAAAGTCTCTACCAAAATTCTCATATTTAATAAATAAGAGACATATTGTCAGCATTTTTCTTGTTACCAAATTCATGAGGGGAAGTAAAAATAGACAACTTCAATGTGGTTGCACAAGTGTGCACACCCTTAATAATTGTGATTTGGCTGTTCAGAATTACCATTAACATTCATAGGCGTGTTAAACGGGAGTCACCACAAACCTACCTCGATCTCAAGTCCCTCTGATTGACACCAAATACATTTGAGATGTTTCAATCGGCTTTTTCTGACATCTTTCTTTTTTTTCCTAGAAGGCACCCGAAGGAAGTGTTGTGTTAACACTAACCGCTATTTTGAACTGTTCTCAATTGGAGGACTGCGTCTTACTGGAGTCATATTATTCAAAAGTACTCTTTCTTGAGTGCAATTTTTGGCTACTCTATCCACCTCTGGTTACTTTACAATTTCATCTCACTCACTCACAACCTCTGACGGTACAAAGGTATCACCGTTATGCACCATGCTCAAGGGGATTGATCATGTACCTCTTGGTGAGAACGTCAATGGACACCAAGGCAAACATTGTGGATCCTTTCGGTCAAGCTGAATTTGTTTATGGTCCTCGCTTGAACAAATCAGGGTTCCCGATAACCCCGGCGTAGCAGCGCTGCTGCTGCTGCTGCTGCTTTTGTGCACGCGATGACTGGCAGCGCCGTGGCTTCCCGCCTTGGAAACAGCAAGAAGGCCGGCATCTTCAGCGAGCCTCATCCTGTCTATCTGTCAGAGCAGCTTGTGGGGGAGTTCCATTCACAGACGGCCGCCGCGTTTCATCTGGGGCTCTGCTATCGAGTCATTACAGATGCAAATGCTTCCTGGGAGACATGCTGCCTGAGAGAAGAGATGCGAACAAGAGGTGCAGCCTAGTACATAGGAGAACCACCGCTGCCAGAAAGCAAGGCTCATTGTTCCCCGGGGGCTATGATTTTTCTTTTTTTTTCTTTTTTCCCTTTCTTTTCGATAACTGCGGGGGTGCCACAACCAACTCCAGCCTCGTCCTTGTGGGATTACCCATCACTACCTAAAACAGAGGTGTGCGATCCAGCAATTTTGAAAGTCAAGGCGAGGGTCGTGTCAATTCCGTTTTCTGAATTGAAATGCACGGAATGGAAAGTGCATCCGCTCGTCCAAGTCACTTGAAGGCTCCCAATGTTTGATCCTTCACACATACGTCGCAAAGAAATGTTCATGCTGAACTTCCTGTTGTGGAAATTTCCACCAGAAATAGCGTGGGCAGCTTCCAAAAGGTTCCAAATGAGACAGCATTGTGAGCGACCTACCGGTATGTGGACGCTTTGGCTCTCTGCTGAAGCTGCATTAGGCTTTGATATTAAAAAAAAGTGGTTTCCATGGAGATTACAGCGTATCCTCACAACTAGTGCTTTCCCATGTGACAGTAGTCCGGAGCAACAAATTGCACATGCGGTCAAACCCGAATGCAATGTCCATACTGTATATTCACACACATGTATAGATAACTGGACATCTATTTTAATATACTGGTGCTATTACACTCTCTCACTATATACAGTATATCTCGATATCTATATTCTGTCCCCACAAGCCCCCCTGCGACAATTGAATGTAACAATTCAAATAAGTAAATGAAAAAAATTTACACAACCGAACTGGGAATGTGGCGGTGTTTAGAATTAAGCAGTTACATTCAAACCCGTGTGAAATGTAAGTCACACACCTGCGACCGTTTTCAAGAAGTTCTAGGAGGCTTTTCCTGACATTTTGGTCGTCACATCTTAAAGCTCAAGCTACATACATGTGCCGTAATATATAAAAAAATATATATATATGTGTGTGTCTGGCCAAAAAACAAAAAAAAAATAGAACACTGTAAAATTGACAGTTTCTCTTTTTTTGTGTGTATATGCACAGAAAATGCATTTGGTATGTGTTAGTCCGTAAATTACTGTGAATATAACTTCCAAATTGAAGTCATGTAATATCTTATTTGAGCATTTATTTGAAATAAAAAAAAATACACACATACACAGAGTACACATTGACATACAAGTACTGTCATCATACGCACACACAAAGTTGACATTCTAAGATATGAATCAAGACCAGTGCTTAATATTGCAAACCGTCGTTACTCTTTTTACTCTTACTGTACTACAGGAATTGAAAAAAAAAAAAGAAAAATCTCAGAAAACCTGAACAGACTCCTACCCTCAAATCAATCATCACCCGCCGATATTACAGAGACATTTCTGTTCTTCTCGTGATTCATAAAGACAAGCGAGCGCACAGCAATGAGATGACAACAGGCAAACATGCACGCGGCATCACGGCAACTCCCTCTGGCGCCGGCCGGCCGGCCCTCGCGGGAACCACTGACCTGCATCCGCTGGCAGACTCGGACTCCTTTTACCTCTTCTCACAGCAGGACCGTTACACAATCATGAATGCGGCAATTCACACCTTGCGGATGACGAGCTTCCCATTTTGTTTCAAGTCCACTGACATGCAGCGGACTCAGAGGTCTATCAGCATGAGGTTTAAAAAAAAAGACAAAGAAAGGGGGTTGCAGCTTGAGAGATGAGACTGTCGATATTACATGCTTAATTACAAGAAGCAAGATGAGAATCTTTCACACTTTAGCTCTCTCTCTTTGTCATAGTGTTGCTCTCCCTGTCACACAAAGGCTCATTAGCGGCAGCCGGCTGGTAGGCAAAGAGGCTGATTGGAGCTGAGGCACAGTCAGCCTGCGAACTCACATGGGTGGATTGTCTGAGAGCGAGCAGTGGAGGGAGAGAGAAAGAAAGAAAGAAAGAAAGGAAGCAAGAGAGAGAGAGAGTGTGTGTGTGTGTGTGCCTCCTCTCCTGCTGTCTGCAGATATTTTTACCAACATGGTAGATGGGAAAGGGAGGGTGTGTGGGTAGGGGCTAGCAGTGGTGGAGGCGGTGAGGGGTGGGGTGCAGGAGGCAGAGATATGGGGGGGGTGTCGGGGGGAATGTCAGAGAAACAGATGAGGAGGTGTATTTGGGCGAGATGGGAAAGGGGAAGGAGGGGTTAAAAAAATACTGTGTAACCATCTAATAGGAATAATCAAATTACCGAACCTCTGCATTCAAACGGCGCACGTACAAGGACGCCAAAACGTCGTGACGAAGGAAAAAAAGAAAATCTCAACAGGAACTCAGTGAACTCAACATTTCAAGAATGAATTTTGTGCATATATGCTTTTTATGGCTTTTCATTACGCCGTTAATTTCCCCAAGTAATGGACACCCATCCAAAATAGTTTGTTATGGCCTATAAAAACAACAAAAAACACTTTTTTTTTCCAATTAAATTAGGATATGTCTAAAACAGAGTGCTAGCTACCTGTGATGAGAAATCAATGGACAGTCTAAAATGCTTAACATGTAAAAAAAAATGTTTTAAAAAGTCCAAAAATTACGACCAAACAGCCGAGCCCGCTTGCCAGACACAAAATAGTCCGGAAATGCAAAATGAAGCCGATCGACATGACGCCTGTCACTAGTTAGCCACTTTAGCATGTTAGCAGAGTGTCTGCTCCTCTTTGTACAGTTAATGTGTCATTTAGGTTTCCAAGCTTCTCTCCTTTGCACGTGTCCTCTTCTGACAACAATTCATGTGGTTCCCAATCTTATTTTTCAGCCACGGAGCAGTTCATCCAAGCTGCCTACATGTTTAGCCTTAGCTTAGGCTACATAAGAGTCAGGAAAACTCATAGCCCCGAGTGGTTTGCCTCTTTACAGTCATTAAAAACAATTATCTCCCATTTTAATGCCTATTAATATCCCCTACTAAGAAAAAAAGCATTTCAACACATCATATTTCAGTTTTATTCCGTCAAAAAGAGCATGAGTTGCAAAGCCCCGAAGGTTACTACAACAGGTGGCTAATGCTGTGTGTCTGCTAATGTCAATAACGGCATTCGTGATTAAAAACCAATATTGGCTCTCATTATCTCTGCTTTTTGGTCCATCTTACTCCCCCGGGGAACCGTCTGGGCTCTTTAATGGCTCAATTCTGCACAGCGCTCACCAAGCAGCCACTAACCGCGTCGTTTTGATGTGGTGCAGGTAGTGAGCTTTTAGTGCTTCTTGTCAGAAAACAGCTGCCTGCTGAGGCCAGAGAGCACGCTGTGGGAACAAGGACGCTAGACAAACAGTCAAGTCACAGCTGGACCCATCAACAAGGAATATTGTTCAAAAGGCATCTGACGCTATATCGTATATTTGACTGATGTGCGGACATTTGCTGTGTGAAGGCTTAGAGAAGAGCATCTGAGTCTTTGCGCACATTTTTCTTACTATTTGTTTTATACTCTTTTATTTATTTTATTTTTTTTGCTTAACACATCGTAGTTTCTAAGGACATCTGAAAATTTAACTCTAATAAATAGATGCGTAAGAAGAGGAAACTGCATTAAAAAAAGAGAGCCACTTTTCAGCTGTTTATTGAATGGAGGGAAATGCCTTTAATCCAATCATGCTTCACGCACAAAAAAAAACCCTGCAATTTTTGAACTGTGTTTTTTTTAAGATGAGAAGTAGCACTGTGTGACTCGATCAAAAACATACAGTAATGACATGAGATGAAATAGAGTGGAGAGGAATTAACTTTGCTTCCATTCCGTGGACATTGCGCTGCTCCTTCTGGTGTGCACGCCTTGGCCAGCTGGGGGCAGTGTAACACACACACAAATATACTGTACATCAGGGGTCTCAAACTCAGTTCCTGGAGGGCCGCTGTCCTACATGTTTTCCAAGTCTCCCTGTTGCAACACAGCTGATTCAAATGATCAGATCATCAGCAAGCTCTGCGGAAGCCTGACATTGAACCAGGTGTGTTGCAACGGGGAGACTTGGAAAACATGCAAGACAGCGGCCCTCCAGGAACTGAGTTTGAGCCCCTGCAAGTGTACATGGAGAGGTCACTGGTCAGTAAGCCACTATAATATGGGTTGTTCTTTGCAGAGGATAAAGTACATATGTCTGTGAGTATTGATATATTTTTTTTCTGTCAACATGTGTTATTCCACAGTTTGTTTTTCAAATATCCCATATCTTAAAGTGTTATTCATTCGCCAGTCAATGCGATTTTGCATTGTTCGCTAAAGGGGCTTCACTCAGGCAAAGTCAACTGGTGGTTGTCAATACAAAGGTTTAATTTGACAGTTGCTTGGAACTCATTCTTATCTTTACAATTATTATTCTTTTTATTTCCACTCTACAGGTGAAAGGAAGCTTTTTTTTTACAACTGTGCCAGCATATTTTCTTTTGTCCCTATTGTGTACTTCATTGTAGTTGTAGTGATATATATATATATATATTTTTTTTTTATAAATAACCCCGCCCACCACCACCACCACCACCCCGTTGTAACGTCCCCTTTAAAATATGCAGTTTGAAAACGAGGCCAGAGGAAGCGCACCGCTGAGCGCTCCAAGATTGCACGGCTGCATCACAAAGAGCAAAGAGCAAGTCAGGCTAATGAGAGAAGTGCAGCAGGCAAAATAAGACGACGCTCACTGTTGTTTCGCCGTTGATGTAAATCAACACTGACGCTTCCATACAACGGTATCGCTTGCTTTGCGCGCATTAAAAACGCTGCTTTCTTTTGTCTGTTTTCCCTCTGATGGGAATTCAATATCGGAAATTGTATTTATATCAGCTTGGAAATTCCCAGTGAACTCATGCTTAAACAATACAATCCGCGTAATATAACAATCGTGACGCTACTTGTCTTTATTGAATACTAGTGCAGGGCAACAGGGACTTGTTCTTGCTGAATCTCTGGAACTCTATTTTAGTTTGATATCTCCATGATCCTACAGCATTTGTAAATATAATGCTGCATCTGTGTTTTCTATAGATCACTCCCAACGTCCTTTAACATATTTTTGATGCATCTGGTGTCCATGAATTAATGTTTTGCAACTAAACACATCTCAAATCCTAAGCTACTATTCTTCGGTTGTCGAGTCAATTTCTCTTCAATTTGTCCCTGGAAGGCACCTTGTGCACGTCTGTCTGTCTGTCTGAGTATCACATTTACATTCTGCCCTATTACATAAGGTGCAAACACTGGAGGGATGCCATGCGTTTGCTTCACCATACGCTGACCTATATTTCCTTGCCTTAAAATGATGAACCGAAGACGGCAATCATACGCAAACGAGCTTGAAGAATAAAATGTGCTTGTGTAGTCACAATAATATTGAGGTCATATGCAAAACAGTTGGCCACCTCCCACTGTGCTGGATAAAAGGTGCATTCCAAAACCTCATTGGAATGCTGTCCAAACAAGCAGATGAGGACCACTTGAAATCCACTCCAGGATAATTATTTTTAATGAAAGATGGTTTTGATGCGAAATACAGAGGTGCCTTAAGAAATTATTTTAATTTGTTCTGTAACCAAATTATCGTTCCCCATTGAAATGAATGGACACACCATTAATCTGTTCCATCTCCCCAAAACACATTCGGAAAAAAAATGTGCAACGCATCTTTCTACTAGTGCACCACTCTTACTAGTGAGGACCAAGAATATACTAGTGCATGGAACTTTAGCTGGATATCAAAGATGTCAAATACATGCTTCAACAGCTTTCCACAGAGTCCACATTAAAGCTCTTCATTATGCTGGATGGTTTCTTTATGGCAGCTGGTCAAAACACATTTGAGTACCTGTATGTCTTAAGTTTTCACTTACTCGCTGTCAGCAAATTGATGATCTTAACTTTCAAAACATGCTCCCAAGGGAGTTTCATGCCTCCAAGGCGTGTGTGGAGCATCTCGATAAGCGAGAACATCTTTAAAGGAAATATTTCCATGATTCATCAAAACAACCCGTCTCAGCATTGTGGCTCCTTGTCAGGCAGCATTTCACGGACAGTGCCTGCGGTGACCAAAGTAGTGTAGTGTACATCAAAACAGCTTTGCTTCAACACGCGGTTAATAACAGGTGAACTGACACCCACAATTAAAATACGGAATGCAGATTTTTTTTCAGTGTTATAGACTTACAAGGGCGGCGATAAGACAACTCAGTAAAATGTAATACAGTTCTACACCACTGCTTCAACCACAACAATAAATACTGCAATTTGTAAGACGAATACATCACTTTTCACACCCTTGATTAATGAAACTAATCATTTGCCCGAAAGATTTCAATGAATGAATTATTTTTCTTTATTTACACAGACATCGTCGATTGTACATGGATTATTATATGGTCCATGATTATTGCACTGTATTGTGATACTATTACGATGCTAGGCGAAATATTATATAATATAATGACTGCTTTGTGAGTGACACAGCGGCAAGCTACAGCAGATGATTTCTTTTTTTTTCTCTCTCCACACTTTCATTCCCGTACACTGCGAGAAACCTAGCGTGCATCCCAGTGGAACTGGCTGATAGAATCGCGGCGCCTGCAAGACAAAACCCTGAAACCACAAAAGAGCCAGCGCGGTGCAGCCAGCCTGGGGTTCCGTTCGACCTCATCCATCACCTTTGTCGCGCTCGGCCGTAAAAGGCAGCCTTGGAAGAGGCGAACGAGAGAGAGAGCGAGAGAGAGTGAGAGCGCGGTGGACAAACTGATCAAGAGAGATATAGAGAGAGAAGGTAGGTCTCAGCTGGACTCCGCTGAGGCCGAGATGATTATGCGGCAACAGATGATGTCGGCGTAGGACGCAACCCCCAAACTAAAAACACACACACTGCTCACATATTCATCAATGCCGTTTTGTCAAAGCCTTGTTCTTAAAATAAATGGCATGGGTGTTAGTGAGAGGTCAGTTCATCTTCATCTGCATGAATTCACATCACATCGAGGAATGCCACAGTTTATTTACGCCATCCGAATTAGTTTACAGCGGTGCCTTCAGATAAGAGTGACCCGACGCGTCAGTTGTTAACGATACAAAGAAAATGACATGTCGTGTGTATATAAAACAACCACCTTCGAAAAGTCATTTAGCTTAATGCTACAAAACTGGACAGGACACCGTTGACAGGCGAATGAATAGCATCGGCGTCATGGTGTTATAACGACGCAAGAAATATTTGAGCGCATGCAGACGGATTTAACAATAGTCACAGGCATACATTCTTTATCCTCAGTGAAAAATGACAAATATTACTATAGATTACTGACCGTCTTGTCCGTGGCCATGTGGCCAAAATGCACACACCAAAAGGAGCCACACAATTGCAATGAACCTCCCATGTTAGCTTAGCGCTATGAAAGCAATGAGATTTGGTTAAGCGCTGTCAGAACAATGGTGAAGATCAAGTGCTCTAAGTGCAGTCCATTTACCCGTAGGATCAAATTTGACTTTTCTTTATTTTTTGGACCACGATATGTTTCGCCACATGTACAATTAATTACGCATTACGGGACTCGCTGCTTAATCAGTAAAAGATTAGCGGATGTGGATTTTGGGTGCGAATTTCAAGCATGGAATCCCAAACTTCTCATCATCATAAATTATCATGCTGTGACTGTACTCTGCCAGTACCTGTTATTAATTTGTCACGTAATACACACAGCACTCATATTGGCGCTTTTTTTTTTTTTTTTTTTTGCAGTTTTATGCCTGCGGTGTGATAAAGAGCCGATGGTGTTACTGAGCAAATAATTAAGTAAAGTCTTCACACGTCGTCGTTTTCAATCTCATTCGAGCTCCGCAAACGGCACATGTCCATTCTGCAATTACACACAAAAGGAATCCAGTTATGGAGATGCGGCGACATTTACGGATTTATGCAAATGAGACATCACATGCTCGCTGTACATTTGTTAACTTGCACTGGCCCGAGGCTGCAGACAGATCTGCTCGGCACACATGAAAAGGAGGGTTGGGGGGGTTTGGGGGGGCTCAGCACTCACGGACAGAGGAGCCACTACGCTACACAGTGCTGGGAACCATTGATCCGTTCTTCCTGCATTTAGAACAATAAAGGAGAGGAAGCATGGCTGTGTGTAAAGTACACAGATGAAGGAAGAGCAACGATGACCACCGTGGCTTTGGATGAAAGCCATGCGTTGGACACAACACACTTTTTGCCTGATGTACAAACAAGGAGCGATCACAAGGAGCGATCACAAGGCACCGAGCGTGGAAACCAGTCGGACTTGTGTTTTTGATTTGCTCCAATTCTAGTCACACAACCACATGCAGCCCTAATCAGGAACCCTCAGCCATCACGTCAATCATTACGCTCGACTCCATTATTCATGCGTCTATTTCTTATTTATGACTGTATTTTCCCATGTTATCGCAAAGTTCACAAAAAGCAGGCTCGCTGGCAGAAACAGAGCTGCCAAAGCATTTCGTGGAGGGGGGGGGGGGATGCTTTCATCTCGCGCGCAGGCTGGGAAGGCTGTGGGATTGCGGGTGTTCACATTGCACAGACAAGCCTTATCATTTATATATAACCTCCATCATGGTGTGAATGTGAATGTTTTGTTTAAGAGATGTAAAAACACTCGTTGGAAAAACACAGTATTCGAATGTGGGCTCATTTTCCCGATTAACATTGGTTTACTTCACGGTTGGTTTTGATTTGTATTTTGCTACATGTTGATTAGTAAATGACAATTGAATTCGGATGCCCTACAGTGATTTCTATTTCTATTTTGCTGTGAGCCACGTTTATTTTTGAGTGTGATTATATTATTGACCACAAGATGGCAGCACACTATTGTGTTTTCAATACATTTGAGAGACGTCGACAAAAGCAGGAAGTAAGGTCCGTGTTTTGTTTTATTTCACTATTTTTTTTGAATGTCGGTCGTAATAGAAGTCATATTTTATTTCATATAATATTTTTATTTTAGTTCATATTTTTGTTTGAATCGATGATGGCTGCGAGAGGAAAAGTGGCTCGGATCATGGATGGATGGATATTTTATGTTGAATATTCAGTTATCGCATGTGACCTGGCTAACCTTAATCAATGATTTTTGACAGAATGCCAAACATTATTTTTTTGTGACCCTTTTAGGATTTTTATTTTCGTACACTTGCTCAATGATACAGTTGCACTCAAAATGATACCCAGGGCACATATTGAGAGACAAAAATTCACACTCACAGTCATACAACACAATCACTGAGCGGGAGCTGAGCCTAGGATAGGCACGTTACCAAAAAAATAAAATAAAATAAATAATAATAATAATAATTTTAAAAATCCAACAGTAACTCGTTCCTTCATGATTCACATTCCTGTCTATGTTTAATGGACAACATCAGCCAACTGTTTATGCAGTTCGCATTTTGGTATTAAATACATAACCTGCAGTTTAACAATAGCAGATCACATTCATGTGTCCAAATCCTTCAAAGTGGAGAAATGATGGAAAATTGACCCCGTAATTGCTTTTATACAAATACGTGTGTCTCTGGAGTACCTTCCTGGCACATACCCAAGTACAATTCACAGAATGAATCTTTAATAAGTCTCTCTGGATATAGTCTGCACCCACATTCACCGGCATCCAGCTCAGGTGCGACTTGCCTTATCATGTCAAAGCCTAAAGTTAAGCAGAGCTGCAATGAGTAACATGAAATGAAATGCAAAATGGAGCTCAAATAACCTCAACAACAACCCAACCTGCTGGGTCAAAATAACCCAATCTTGCTCAACATCCACAGCTACCAAACAAGTGGGTTCAGAAAACAACCCAGCATTTTTTTTTAATTGTCTAGCGATGAGTTACCCATAATCGTTCTAAAAGGAATATCTTTAATAAAGTCATAATCTTAATAAACAAACATCTTAAACATCGACTTGCCTTTTAACACCTCACAAAAAAAAACCCACTGAGAAACATTTTCATGTCACTGATGTTTGATTCAGAACAAGCCCCGCATATCAAGCTCACAATAAATATTCTAAAGTGTCGTCTTTTAATGAGAGTGATATCAGAGGCGTCTCTGTGGTATAATCCAGCGAGACTGGTGCAGATGTCTGTGTTGACTTTACACTGCATCAACATCACATCATGTCGTGTTACCACAGGGTCTTTTGAGGCAGCGTAGCAACAGTTTGGCGTGTGTGCATGTACGTGTGTTCACCAATTCAGCCCCATAACAATGCAATCTTACCTTTAGAAAATGTTATTACACTGCAGCTGACTGCTTCTGTCCTGGGGGGAATAAAGAAAGAGGGGTGGGGGGGTCATTAGCTTCTGCAGCAGGTTGCATAACAGATAGAAGCAACCTGATGTAAGACACTGAAATAAAGAGAAAAATCACACTCGGAAACTTTGGCACTAATAATGGAGATGATAAGGAAGATGGATAGTGGTGGCGGGGAGGGCGGGTAGCGAAGGGGAGTTGGTGGGTGTTAGACTTCCTGTACTGCAGTGGACTCTGCAGGGATCCAGACTCACTTCAGGAAGCTGGCCTTGCACCAGTCTTATGTCAAGCTAGCACACATGTGCACTCCCTCCATAATTATGGTGGGTGGGAGGGGGCGTGGGGGCTGTGTAACACTGACACATCTATTGTGCGGAGGAAGCAAAATGATGCACAGTTCAGGCAAGACAAAGAAAACGTGGCTGCAATTTGGGGGGGGGGGGACAGAGTGAGCAGAGTTTGGATGGATGTCATGTAACACGTTGCAAAGGCAACACATCAGTCTCATCAATGAAGACCCTCGTACTTATGTCACATGTAAAGACCTTGCAGTCAATGTGCAACTAACTTAAAGGCTGATTGTGTCTCGTTTGAGCTCCACTCACCATTCATGTCGTTGTGCAGCCGGTCAATTAAATCAACGCCCCTCCCTCAGTTCCATGCGCTGTCTCGGCGTGTCCTCCATGCATGCGCAGGCTCCGGTGCGGCAGGCGCTGGGATCACTCAAGCCGGGGCGAGGGTCGGGGGATGAACCGGTCCGGTCGACGCGCGCTCTGTTGCCTTTTCAGCGGAGGCGGCAGCAGCAGCAGCAGCAGCAGCAGCCTTCCTTCCCGCTGCCGCGGGAACAAGGGGCGGCCTCAATGGTGCGGCATCAGACTGACAGGCTCCCGGGGCAACGTGACTTCCTCCGTCCAATCAGAGCTCAGAGACCAGGAATCAGCCGCAGAGCTCTTTTTGCACGAGTTTAGTGTGCACCGGCGCAAACCTGTGCACGTTTGGATATTGGTGAGAGACAACAACGAACAAATACCGCGTTACTGTTTATCCTTAAGTGAATTTGATGCAATCTGCACTTGACTTGAGCACGTCATTCTTTTTCTCTAGACTTTTTACTTTTGTTCCCGACATCTGAAAACCAACCGCATTATACTCTTTATTATTCCAAATAGTCTTAGCCTACGCATTATAAAAAGACTTGATTGAGATGAGACTTTTTACTTTTGTTCCCGACATCTGAAAACCGCATTCTACTCTTTATTAGTCCAAATAGGCTTAGCCTACGCATTATAAAAAGACTTGATTGAGATCATTGAAACATAGACATGCAGCATGATGGAACGTGAAACTAGGGAACATTAACATGATGACGCAACAGATCCATGGAAGCAAGATATTCCATCCTTGGCCCGATTTCAGTCAAGTGTTAGATGCTGTCGCTTTTGTTAGCTTAGAAACCGCGAGGTCTTGGCGTTCAAAAATATCCGTCTAATTAGGGAAAAAAAGACATTGCAGCCAAATTATTATCATTGGCTAAATTATTTTGTTTTGTTATTTTGTTTTACGCATGAAGAAACTGTTGTCAATTCAATAATTTCTGGCAGAATTTGACTTTCGGCTTGCCACAAACACCCAACCCCAAAACAACCACTGTATGCAAGCTAACTGAAGAAGAAGAGGAGGAATTTTTAGCCATAATACATCGAGTTGGGTATTTTAAAAAAACGATAAAACAAAAATCCAACATATGACATTTCAATACTTGCATAGAAATCATATAAACATGAAAGAGGGAAACGATGCAGTTTCCCTCTGTGTTAAGAGGACATTTTTTCACATGGGTTTCAAATAATTTTTACTTTTCTGTCTTTGTGCATGTCAGAGTCTTTACTTTTTTTACTTTTAAATATACAGTATACAATATTCTGTCGTGTTTTGTTGATGTTCTTTTAGTATCGGTTGCCTGCTGTACTTTTACTGAAGTACAGTTGTCATCTGTCTGGCTAAGCTAGCTAGCTAGCCGGCTATGGAACGCTGAAGTCATAAAAATAAACACAAAATAAGCAATAATGTACTGGAAGCTTTATTAAATGCACGTGCACAATCTAATGGGGACCAGTGCGAAAGGAAACAACTGTAAAATGACATTGTTCAATCGTGACTGACACTGCTGTCAGAGAGGAATTGATTTACTTTTAATATGTTTATAATGGGCGACGACGTCGTGGTGTACCCCGCTGCTTTTTGCCGGAAGATTTAGGTGATTGGTTGTGTAATTTGGCTTCACGACGAACCTATCATTTCGATGCAATGCAGTTCTCCACTACAATAATATATTGTTAAAATAATACGACTTGTCTTTAACAGTGTCAATCGACGCGAGTATCTCTGTAGATGCAGGTTTATTCCGCCATACTCATAGGAACAAAATGTTCTGTTTTGGCAGTTGAGTGTTTCCTGAAGCACACTGCCACCCTTTGGTCAAATTAATGAATTACAACTACACTGACCAAACATTAATTATTCATGCAAGGGTTTATTTCTGGAATGTGGGGGGTCATCAACGTGGGCGACTGCTGGTGTTTTTGTCCACAAGTGGGGTACTGACATACATCATGAATCATTTTACATGAAGGCAATAGATAACTGATTTTGCCGACAATGTTGAAAAAGGGGTGGGTGGCCCTGTGGTGGTCCAGTAGTGAGCGCGTCAATCTCACAGTGCAGAGGTACCAGGTTCAATTCCAGCTCTGGCCTGCTCGCGTGGGTTTTCTCCGGGTACTCCAGCTTCCTCCTACATTCCAAAAACATGCATGGCAGGCTGATTGAACCCTCAAAATTGTCCCTCGGCATGTGAGCGGGGATAGTTGTTCGTCTCTGTGTGCCCTGCGATTGGCTGGCAACCGGTTCAGGGTTTCCCCCAACCTACTGCCTGAAGACGGCTGGGATAGGCTCCAGCACACGCCGCGACCCTTGTGAGGGTAAAGCGGAACGGAAAATGGAAGTTTGGAAAGGCCTGTAGTTAACTTATTGAGCACTAGATGGTGCTAGCGTTCTAGTGGAAATGACGTAGCCACAATTGTTCTACAATATGTTGTCAAATTCTATGACAAATGATTTAAATTTTAGTTATGTAGCTACATGAGATGAAAAAAAACATCAATGAATGTAAATATAAAGAACAGTATGATGCAGCGCAGATCTACACGACAACAATTTATCAAAAAATATTGTTAAATTGGTACCTCTGACACTGTCAATAAAAACTGAACATTCTTAACTTGTTAAGGCATCATGTTTTAAACTCATCTTGTTTCGGATGATGTGAGAGTGTTCCTAATGAAGTGGCCAAAGACCAACACAACATCAAGTAAATTATGACAGTCATGGAACTTGGAAAGTTTCCAACTCGCCCCCAAGCCTGATGAGGACAAACGCTGTATGATAAGCATGGACAACACATGATAACAAAAAAAGTTTTGTAGTGTACTCCAATAATCATCTTTTGTTAACATTTTGAAGATCAAACCACAGTGTGATTTTTAGCTGAAAGCTTTGGCATGAACTTTTATTTTGACATCTTATTAGTGCTCATGAGAATGTATTGCTCTGGAATGCCTCCTCAGGTGGATCCCTGCTCCCATGATCTATTGGCGCACCCCTTTGAATGCCACTCGTCAACCCTGAGGGATCCCAACCAGTCCAGTTAAGAAGGAATTTATGTTTGAACATTTCACCTGCTGTTGTGCAAATAGAGCAGAGGACAAGTAGAATAGAGATGCAGATGGCAAGACGACCACTGTTCAGTAGTGGTTTAAACAACAGGCCACTTCCCTTCTTTCTGGCTTCCTGAATAGTTTAGCAATTTTCCAGGTGCTATCTCAAGCCCACTGAAGTTTCTCAGGTGGGCAGCAACCCAGCAACAGGAGTGCTCCTTATCTGTTCCTTTGTGCAAGGGGAAAGTGATCTTCCATCCGTGTAATCTGATGGCTCCTGGATGAGCGAGCAGGCTTTACATGACACTCCACTGTGGCCTCATCTGAATAATGCAGCTCTCTCAAGTTAACAAAGCTCATCCGGCGTCTTTCAACACAAGCACTCTGTGAAAAAAGGTTTTGACATCTTTAGAAGTTAGTCATAATCAGCTCTGTTCGATGATCACCACATTGTTTTCTTTGGATTACATGCCAGTCTCCTGGTGTGTGTTATGACTGTTTACCACACTCACTTTTAGGACTACTAAGTGTGGCTCTTTAGGGCTGTTAAGAGCGGTCTCTTAGGCTGCAAAGAAAGTGGAAGCCTGCTGCGTGTGGTGACCTGTGTTCTCTTCTTCTTACAGCCATCATCCTCTGTGATAAAGTTGCACGTCTGTGGAAACTCCATTAAGGGACGAGTGAGACCAACGAGCGACTTGCTACAGCTCCTGGAGGGAATATTTCAAAGAGGAACTTTAAACATTTGGGATAACATCAACGGTGAGTACGTTTATTGCGTTGACGCGTGTGTTGCAGACTTGGCTGATTGATGATCACTTGATGCTTGAAGCCAGAAAGTATTATTGACACGTGTCATTCGATAATCAAAGCAGTTTTACACCTAAACGAACGACTCTCTCTGACACGTTGTCTTTATTAATTCACAATGAGGAATGGCCATTTGCTCTTAATGGCTTTGCTGCAGGGAATCGTTTGCATCAAAATCATTTTAGTCACACTGTCGTTATGGTTTTCCCTCAGAGGGCTGTGATGACTGAAAATCACATCAAAGTATAATCTCCTCATCATTGATTGTGAGCATATTCTGTCATCTTTGTAATATTAAATAGAATTTAGGGATACTTAGACCTAGATTTTATGTATGGCGATTTTTTAATGGCAATATTCGCAAAACTGTGGACATTAATGAGGAATCAAAATTAAATGGTGTGATCAGCCAAAGCTCCATGTGCCGGATGATGTTCATGTGACTAAATGTAGTGGGGAAAGTTGTCAGCAAATCTGTGAAAATTCAATCGGTGCAATTGTATGCTCTCAGATCTATACACACACACTATAAATCTCTTTACCGAGGCCTCCATCAGTTGCTTTACAATGTTCATCTAACAAGGGCTAAAAATATGTTTTACTTTTTCTTGAATGGTAATTATATTTTCAAAGTTGGCGTGTATTTATGATGAAATCAAATGCGAATGGATGGACAGATACTGATTGATAGAGTATGTGTGGGTGGGTGGTGGAGGTGGGGGGTAATTATGCCAAGTGATGCTGTTCCATTCCAGTCCTCTAGGTGGCAGTGGTAAATCATTGCAAAGTGACAAAGTGGGTGCCGCACACAAGCACGCACATTCTCATTGCCTCAACTGCGCGCACACACCTGCTGTATATGTAATGGGCTTCTTCCTTGACCCGTGCACCATCCCTTGACAAAGTTTTATGATAATTGGCTGATTAAGTCGCCAAACGCTGCAGTGGTTCGCTCGACTGACCTCCGTGCTGGCAGCGTGGGCTCACTTCCCACTCAGCGACGCTGAGGATGTGAGTCTGAAGAGTTGTCTGTCTCTTGATATGACCGACTTTTATTTTTGCCTTTTCATGAATAAAAAAAAAAAAAAAAAACAGTGTTGGATGAAAACATCACAAAATAATCCAAAACAATGTCAGGTACGAAGCACCACAATGAATAGGGAAAATCTACAGTTAATTGATGACATAGTTCCTTGTCACCAAGACGTCACAAGATGGCGGCAAAGCACTACAGTTGTCTAAATGAAGCGCCTCGGCCCACTTCAACATATAATTTGATCTAAATGAAGCATCGAAACTCACTTAAACATCTCTTATTATCACCAGGATGCTACAGGTGATGGCAAAGGAATCATGTAGTGTCAAAGAAGCACCACAACTCACTTGAACATAGTTCCTTGGCAGAGAGATTGCACTCCACGGAGGCAATGCAGTATTTTTGCCAAAATGAGCGTCCTCAATCCACTTCAACATAATTCCATGGCACCATGATGCCACAAGATGGTAGCAAAACAAAACTTTTGTCTCTGTGAAGCGCTCCCAACACACTTCAACAAAGATACTTGGCATCAAGCTGACACAAAATGGCGGAAAAGCACTACGGTTGTCTAAATGAAGCGCCTCGGCCCACTTCAACATAGTTCCTTGGCACCAAGACGCTAAAGATAATGGCAAAGCGATACTACTTTCCTCTAAATAAAGCCCCTTAACTCATTCCAACAGATTAGTGCCTATGCAGGCTAGTCATTTGTCACCCAAAGCTATTTCGGCATCAGTATCTGCCTTTTGAGAATAACAATGACTGCAACGCAATTAACATGAAGGACTTAAAAAGGAGACAACTACAATTCAGCAGGACACGTAAATGTCTGATTATCAGCGCTTTTACGAGACAAGCATGTCTTATTCCGTCACTGGGGAGGATAGCGTTTCCATGACAACGTTTACAAATGAGGTTGTGCGCAGCAGTCAATCATCTCTCAGCATGGAGGAATCAGCATGAACGTCAAACGGGCAATGAGGCAGATTAGTATCCCGGACTGACACGTTTCGCACCTCTGCACGATTGCAGCCAGTGTGTTACATAAATAATGAAAGCAGGAGTGTGAAAGCGTGTGTGGGGCCTCGTGGCTGGGTGAGGCTCATTTGTATTCCGTTTCTTTAGTATGAGGAGGAAAAAAAAAAGGGCATGAGGCAAAGAAGGCTTTGTATAGCTCCGTCCTGCACTGTGATTGTGATCACTTTATTCCTTCAGTGTGTGGTTAATTTGATGCTGAACGATGTGTCCGGGAAAGTCTTTAAGAGGCAGGAGAGTCATTAAACGGCAAGAAATTAGTGACACTTCAATGTCATTGAATGTCTTTTTGCCAAGCCGTTAAAATACTGTGCTAACTGGATTTAGCCACAAGATGGCACATCATTCAAAAAGGTACAAACCCAGTGTGTTCTCAACACTTTTTTTTTTTACACTAAATACCTGTAGAACCTTAAAAAATACTCAACTTTCCAAGTACCACCGCCATGAACAACATTAACGCATAGTAGTAAGAGTTTTTTTTGGTTTTTTTTCCGAAACAGTACATCATTGTAAACCACTGTAACTTAAACACTGCGCTCTTGGAATCATGACTCACATAAAATGTATTCTGCATAACCTAAATAAATAAATATTTTTGGGGGAAATGACTGGAAACGAAAAGGTCCGGATATTAAATGCAAATGTTTTGTACAAAAAAAAGTTAAATACAACTGAACTGTGCTTGGGCAGAGGGGCAAGTGATCCGAGTCCATGTTGAAAATTGCTTCTTTAAATCATATATAGCCCTTTCAAAAATATATTTTTACTTGTGAATGAGAACTTTCGTTTGAAAAGACCCAAGAAAATGCCATAAGAGTGTAAAAAATATATATTTTTTTGAGATAATTTCTAAAGGATCGTGATATTCTAGACATCCTTGTCAACTATACTTTTGGAACATGAGACATTATTTTGGACAGTGAAATCGGTCAAAATGTTCAGTAAATGTGAATATAGGAAAGGAACTTGGCTCAAATTTTGTGGGTGCTTGATTTTCCTTTAGGACTGCTTCAGCACCCCCAAAATTGGGGCTACACATGCCCCTTGTGCTCCTCCATATTACGCTGTTAAATCGCTGTTCCTACCAGGTAGACTGATTTTAAATACAGCAACAAACATGGATCACTCGCTTTGCAAGCAACACTTCTAATGAGAGCGAATATAAATCGACAAAGATTTTCAATCCAAACACACGCGATGCTAATCCAATATCAATAATAATAAATGAATTAAAAAACATGGATTAATGCACGGCTCCCAGCCGCCCGTCTGTTATTAATCTCTAAACCACAACTGGTTCTGCATGGCAGTGTGACCTATGATTTAATATGCTTACATTGCAAGGCCCCCCCTTGCGGCAGTAGAGATTAATTAAGCATGATACATTTTGCATAATATCCGCTTCAGTCCAATCAAGAGTTTTGTTGAAAATAAATCACTATTGGTCCACTGGTAGTTATGAAAAGAAGAAACCAAAAACTGCAGCAAAGATTTTGGAGCTCTCTTTGGTCAGTGTTGAAAATTTCATTGCTATTGCATGTACAGGCTCCATTAGCAGCGCTAAAGTGAAATTAAAAGAAAACCGATCACGAAAAGTCATAAAAGTAGAGAGCGAAATATTCATACGAGTGGAAATGGGGCCCGGTACCGGTCGGTGAGTCATTTGTTACCGGGCCGCGCAGAGAGAATAAATAACGTACATTACTTCTGTTTTATTCATTTCGCAATCTTCAGGATGTTTTATTTTGAAAAATTGCCGGATTCTTTGTAACATCCGTCTACAGTATGTCACTCTTGACGGAGGTCAAGGTGTGCTTCTCGGTCACGTGATAGGTTACAGCTAAAATGAAACCCAGGAGGGAGCAAAATGAGTAAAAAAAACAAACGTCTTTGGAAAGTTACTTTGGGAAGGGGAAAAGGCGCAGCTAGGGAAAGAATCATCATATTTATCATTTCCTCTTCCCTCAAATAGCTGTCCATCGTAGTATCAACTTTGACCTGTGGATTTGCGATCATAACAATCGTTGCGATTGTCGGCTTGACCATTTTCTGAGCAGATCGCGGTGGAAAAAAAATCGATTCAAGCGCACCCCACAGCACAGCACAAGCCTCACGATAATGTTTTAGACACATCAGACTACCTGATATTTGTTGACTTGGAGCGAAAGAAAATTGATGCCCGACTGTTGCTATGTAAAGAGAAACCTATACAGTCGGTGGGATACTTTTCAGCTAATTTAAGCAGAACTGCGATAAATGCAGAAAAGTTTCCATGAAATTCGTTTTTTTTTATCACACAGAAGGATCATTCATGGCCACTCTGTCAGCAAATTCATAATAGAACAGAAGGTTGAGTTTAGTTTTTGATTTCTAATCCACTATTATTGTTGGAAACCTTGAATTCTTTGTGTAAGGTAGGTAAGGTTACAGCTTGGGGAAATTAATTGAAATTGCCACATTTGTACCACCGGAATATTCTCAGTAGGGTTTTAAACGTAGGGTAAATAGTAAATGTGGTAATTAATTCGAAGTAGTTTGTTAATAGAAAACAAATTGAAAACATGGCCTTGGACCATTTAAAAAAAAAAAAGCCTTCCTGAATATTTTGTTGCTCATCCTTTTGCAAGGACGACTGCCGCTTATTTATTTATTTATTTATTTTACAGGAATTAAAACTCTTTTCAGAAGTTCAGATTTCAGCTTTTTCCAAGTACTTTTTATGTGACTGAGACTAGGACTCTAGCTCTCACTCTGCAGGCCTTTCCATTCTCATCCACGTTTGTGTGCTTTTGGTCTTCCATCCAACCCTAGATGTCTTACACATTTGGGGGAAGACATTAAAACAAAAATCGTTTTAATGTGTGGTAACGAGGGA